AATATGCTCGGCGCCGCCACCACCGGGCCCGTCGTCTCGCGCGACTACCTCGTCGCGCGGATCCGCTCCTGGCGCATCCCGTCGCTCGTCCAGGCGCAGAGGCAGGAGCGGCAGCAGGACGGCGCCTTTCAGCGGCGCGGCGCGCTGCGGCTGCTGCGCGCCTACTGGGCCGTGCACGGCTACGAGGTCGTCTTCCTCAGCTTCGTGGTGGCGACCATGGTGGCGGCTGCGACGGCGGAGGTTGTCCGGTACGATGCAAGGCGCTACACGGCCGCGTTTGGCTACGGCGTCGTCGTGGCCAAGGGCTGCACGGGGGCGCTGTACCCGACGTTTTTCTTCATGACGCTGAGTATGTCGCGGTACTTTGCCACCATGTTGCGGCGGTCGTCGTACGTCGTGCGCTTCCTGAATCTGGATCTGTCGAGGCGCTTTCATATCTACATATCGTGCTTTGGCCTCCTGCTCGCCACCGTACATGCAGGCAGCCACCTGATAGGCACATTCAGCGAGGGTAGCGACCCTGGAAATGAAGAAGCCGTCACACGCGTCATTGAAAAGAAACTGCCCGGTCTCTATTACGTCGATTATATCGGCTCTAGAGCCGGCGTGACGGGCCTTGCGGCGCTCAGTCTCTTCTACATCGTCGCGATATTGAGCGTTCCGTCAATTCGGCGCTGGCACTATAATATTTTCCAGATCGGCCACTTACTGCTATACCCGATTATTGCCTTGATGATGGCGCACGGAACTTCTCATTTGCTCCAGGCACCCGTTTTTGGCTATGTCCTGGCTTTGCCCACATTCTTGCTGTTATTTGAGAGAATTTCTCGAGTATGCCTCGGCTTTTACCTCATCGATGCCTCGATTGAAGTATTGACTAGCGACACCATCGAGATGACTGTTGAAATGCCGGAATACCGCATCTGGGACTACACAGCTGGCCAGTACATCCTGCTACTCGTGCCCAGCATCAGCCTCTTCCAGTGGCATCCGTTCACCATCTCGTTTTGCCACGACAAGACCATCAAACTTCACATAAAGACCGATGGCGACTGGACTGCCCAGCTGCGCAACCTGGATTCGAGTATCAAGGTTGCCATTAACGGCCCGTTTGGTGCACCGGCGCAGCGGTTTGGTGATTTCCGATACTCTGTCATCATCGGTGCTGGAGTTGGCATCACTCCCTTTTCGGCGATTCTGGCCGATCTGCAGCGCAAGGATGACTTGCATCACGGATGGCAGCACCGTCAACACCTAGACCGCGGCGATGCTCCGTGGGTCCATAAGACAGTACCGCCGTCTCTGCTTGAAAGCGCACGCCGAGAACTTTGCAAACACCGGCGAACAGACTTCCACTGGATCGTACGCGACCGCCACAGCCTATCGTGGCTCTCGGACCTGCTGAACCACGTTTCCACGAGCCAGCAGCGACGCCGCCGGCAGCTCGACGCCGCCTCGCAGCTCGACATCCGCATCAACACGCACATCACCGCCAAGCATGCGTCCATTGTCGCCTACATCTGTAGCTGGATTCTCGAAACAAGCCGCAGCGACAACCAGCCCGCCTCGTCTCTTACCGGTCTGCTCAACGCAACCGCCTTCGGACGCCCCGACTTTGACACCATCCTCGACGAGCACTACCACGACATGAAAATGAATGCGAGTCGGGATGGGCCGGGCAAGAAATTCTCGCATGCTGACGATGGCGAGAGACAGGAGCAGGAACGCTCCGTCGGCGTGTTTTACTGCGGTGCGTCCGAGGTGGGCGTCAGGCTGGCGGATAAATGCTGGCAGCTGACGGCTCGCGGCCGAAAGGATGGAACACGCATTGAGTATCATTTCATAGTGGAAGCTTTTTAGTAGCTTGTAATTACAAGAAAATAAGATATAATATAAAGCATTGCAATAAGTGGTCCCCCGTACCAACTTTGCCGTACTAGCAAAGGATTGGAATGCAACGTCTCGTGGCACTTGGGGTACCAAGTTGACCTATGGGTTGTACGCACCCGCAGCGTGTTATAATTATATGGTGATATTTAAGTCTATTCAAGATATCAACGAAGAGTTGGAACAGGATAAAAAAGTATAATTATTGTGTTTGAAGATCGGTTTTATAACTACATAGCTACGCTTGGAACTTACATGTTAGATCTGCCAATCCCTGTGGAGACTATGGCAGCTCGCAGCAGGACCTTGTCCAATACTGGGCCACTCACCATGCGCACAGGCTATAAATTAGTGTCAACAGTTAAAGGGGTTAAAGCCACACAAAACGTTGGCTCCCATCCACTGCATTGCAATGCAAGCCACGGGACTGGTGCACCACGTACACCACGTACAACATCTACTCATCTGCAACCACACAACAATAAAGAGTAGCCGGTGCAACTGCCGCGGCTGATGCAAAATGATTTGACATCTTTCACACCTCAGCGCCCCGGAGTGTGTCCCTGCGGCAGCCACCGCCACCAGACCACCACACGAAAAGCCTCGTATGTTGTCTTTGGACCGCATCGACCCACGACACGAGGCAATCCGAAATGCCGCATCCGGAACCAGCAAAGGGATACTTTGAGAACTAGCAATGGTATTTAGCAAGGCCGTCCGTCACAAGCTCAAAGAGCTTCACGGCTTCCTGATCGTCCAAGGTCAAGCGGGGTCACTCGTGGATCCACACCTGTGACATTTACTCCAGAAATGCGAATAGAAATATCGCCGGGCCAGCATGATGTTGAAAGAGTCCATCCGATGGGGAGCAATGGGCACTGAAAGCTACAAATCTGGAACAGACGGTTCCGCTATTTGTCTTCCCCCCAGGGTAGCAGGGGTCCTGAGAGGGGTATTTTAAGTTTCAGCTGTCAATACCCCACGGGGTAAGTGGAGCATCCCAATTATGTACCATACATACTGTTTCTTCTGGGGTTGGGATCTCCGACGCGCGCCTCCGGTGGGGTTTCGACAGCAGGAACACTGCATTCCGGGACTCGGAAAAACTCGACAACTGATTTCCGCTGCAGTGCAACATCTCCCGAGGGAGGCACCTTGCAGCAGCAGCTTAAATCTAGGCGTGGTTCCCCGCGTTTGATCTGTCGAGCCTGATGCTGCAGATTCCTCTCAACTTTTCCCATCTAATCAGACTGCAAAAACACATTCACCATGTCCGCCAACAACAGTGACAGGGTCCGTCTCCTCATCCATTTACTGTCTCCATGAACCGTGATGAACTGACTTTCAGCTCCTAGGAGAACCTGCGGATTGACATCATCCCCGGGACGGAGGTCATGGTTGACCAGGGCATCAAAGGTGAAGCCGCTGAGAGCCAGGGGGGAGACCGTACAGTCCTGGTCCCCCCGCCATCCGACAGTCCCAACGATCCCCTGAACTGGCGATTCCTGTGGAAGACGTCCGCCATCGTGGCCGCGTCCTCTGTCAGCTTCACACAGGGCTTCTCCCCGCTGGCCCTCGCCCCGATGATCCCGTATCTCATGAAGGAGTATGACAGGTCGCTGGAAGACGTCATTCGATTCACCGGCGTGACGATCCTGGTCCTTGGGTTCAGTAACTTCATCTGGTAAGCTGGGTCGAACCACGTTGGTACCTTGGATGCATGTTCATAATCCGTCTCTTTAGGGTCCCTATTGCGAGCTCTTTCGGCCGACGTCCTGTCCTGATTGCCTCGCAGATGGTGTGCCTGGCTTCGCATCTGTGGCGAGCAAAGGCCACCTCGTACAATTCCTTCTTGGGCGCAGCCATGTATGCCGCCTGACAAACCACCCGTGTCCCAGTGGACGCCTTGCACATTCAGCTGACCCCTCCTAGTCTCAGCGGCATCGGCTCTGGTCCAGGCGAAACGATCCAGCCAGCCATTATTGCCGACTTGTTCTTCCTGCAGGACAGCGGCAAGTGGAACACGCTCTACTGGGTGACGTACATGGGCGCATTGATGGTATTCAAGGCAAAATACCCACACATTCACGTTTACGGTACTGACTAGTATTCATAGGTCGCGCCCATCGTAGCAGGCGCCATGGCCGAGCATGGAGGGTGGCCTACTTTCTGGTGGCTCAGCGCCGGGTTGACCTCCCTGTCACTGTTACTCATTATTTTCGGCTTCCCGGAGACAATGTGGCATCGGGAGCCTTCAGGCCAGATCCTTCTCTCTGCCGACACGCTGACGGCGTCAAAAGCTGTCGCCGAGCACCACGAGACCCAGTCCCCGGAAAAGCCCTATGAAAAGACAGATGATGCGACAACCATTGCAACCGACGACAGGCACGCCTACTACCCCCTTCTGGGCACGGGCTCTCCCAGCCGGCAGCAGTGGCGTCCCTACCAGCTCAACGCGAACCCGACCCGGCGCATCCTCCGCGACCTGTGGACGCCGTGGCGGCTGTTCACGTACCCGATTGTGCTGTTCACGTCGTTTGTCGTGAGCTGGAGCTGCAGCAACCTGCTGATCCTGAACCTGACGCAGTCGCAAGTCTTTGCCGCGGCGCCGTACGGCTGGTCCGCGCAGTCGGTCGGCTTCACCAACTTTGCGCTCTTTGGCGGCATCATCATCGGGCTGTTCACGGCGGGGCCCTTTAGCGACTGCGTGTCGGCGCGCGCGACGGCGCGCAACGGGGGCATCCGCGAGCCCGAGATGCGTCTGCCCGCCTTGATCCCGTACGTGGCCGTCATGGTGCTGGGCAACTGCATCACCGCCGTCGGGTACCAGCGCGGCTGGCCCTGGCAACCGATCGTGGTTGTCGGCTACGGGTGTGCTGGTATCCAGGTCGCTGCCCTCCCGGGCATTGCTAGCTCATACGCCATCGACAGCTATAAGCCGGTTACCGGAGCCCTCTTTGTCGCCATTACAGTCAACAAAAACCTGTGGGGATACGGGCTCGCGGAGTTCGTGACAAGATGGAGCGTAGAGGCTGGGTGAGTAACTATTTGACATCTAAGGCGTCTTCCACTTTTGCAGAATGAGTATGCTAATGATTCCGGATATAGATTCCTTCCCGTCTTTTTTACCAATATGGGGCTGACACTGCTATGGTGCCTGCTAGGCATTGTGTTTTATTTCCGGGGCAAGACTATTCGCAGCTGGACTAGGAATAGCGATGTTCACCTAATGTAACTGTTTGTAGTTGGACAAGCAACTGGATATAGACAATATCACTAGTAGGCAAGTTATTAATAACAAGATCATCCAAGCTATGGAGTATACTAGCAATATACTTAATAGTTATAGTAGAAATAGTCGATAATGAAGATGATCATAATGACTACATGATTGAATGGCACCGGCGCGAACAGCAGCGGGAGATAAGAATGAAGATTATTACCATCAATGCCAAGTGGAATCGTATCGGATGGGCTATGCGGATGACTGAGGGCCACCGCCCCAACTTCCAAGCGATATATATCGGACAAGAAAAATGCATTGTTTGTGCCGCCGAAAGAATTGTTGCATGAGCGATGACGGATATATACATACAAGACCAACTATAGAAAAGAGGAAGCGACCGACCTCAAGGGCAACCAACTGACCAGCTTCCCCTAGGAAAGATACTCACAATTTAAATACATTTGTCTTTACTTTACATGCCTTAAGATAAATACTTTTCTTTACTATTTACCTTGTATATAAAATACTAATTAGTCTTTTTATATTTAGTATCACTTCCTCCACGACCCTGGTACGTCTTCAAACCCATCCAGAGATCTCAGCTTTGGCGGTCTCAAGTACTCGTCTTCCCAGTTTGAAGGTTCTGCCAAATATTCCTGAAAGACGGCATAATCCGACGTTTCTATGTACATCCAACCAACATTCTCATACTCATCTTCCGTTAAACCCCCTTCCCACTCCGAGCCCTCTTCCTTAGGACACATTTCCTGAATTTCCTCCGCCGAGAGGCTACCTCGGTGCCCCGCTGCCTGCACGAGCTTCACCACAGCGCCGCACGCCTGGTCTAGCGACTCAAGACAAATGTCATCAACGACTAGGAAGAAGTTGTAGCGAGCCCCGGCAGGGGAGCCGTCCATGGCGGCGTTAAATTCCTCTACGGAGGGACGGTGCTCTTCCTTAAGGTTGGCGCGGTACTCCTCCACTACCCACGTAGAGAACTTATCACGCAAGGATTCCATAGTGGCACCTTCGAACTGGCTCTGATCGTCCATAATCTCAAACCGATGCCGGGGGTAGAGCTCCGGGTTGGGCGCAGGCTCGTACGGCAGCGAGTCCACGGGGTCCTGCAGCTCGTTAAGCATTCGCCTCCAAGCAGCATCATCGCCATATGCCGTTCGGTACACAACAAGACCCCATGGCGTGTCTGGCTTGAAGCGGTCGAGTTTGATTGTGCTTCCTACCTGTCGTAGAGGGTCGGCGAACTGAGCAGTTTTTTCCTGCGCTATTGCTTCTCGGATCTCTGCGCTGAGCGGATGAGCCTGCTCTACCGCTAGGCTGACTCGGAAACGAGCATCATAGTCACTGCGGCCAACCTCGCGCAGAGCAGCTTCCAGCGCGTCCTCGTAGGCGTCAACGCGCTGGCGCTCCTGGCTTGTAAGGACTCGTCGCGGCATGTCGGGAAAGAAGCGAGGGTATGATGTATGCAGCTTGACGAACTGAAGCAGATGGATTGCAGTGTGCTTTTGCTGGCTCTCCAAAGAAATCTCGCGAAGCAGATGTTTTGCTTTCCGAGGACGACTGATGAGAGGAGCGGGCTTGAGTGGTGCGCCCGGCGCAAAGAGCTCATAAAAGGTTTAGGCACAAGTAAGGGAGCGAAACAGGGCAGGCTAGGCCAGTTTGTAGACGCGTTCGCATTTCAGAGGAGGGGAAAGGCGCTATTTAACATAAATAGGTACCTACAGGAGGGGGGGTGTTTTCTAACATCGGTCTATACATAGTATATAAAGTAAGGTATCTATAAATATATAGGATTACTATAGGGGTATTTTATATACTAAAAAATTATTATAATAGAAATAGTAGAAATAGTAGAAATAGTAGAAATAGTAGAAATAGTAGAAATAGTAGAAATAGTAGAAATAGTAAAAATAGTAAAAATAGTAGAAATAGTAGAAATAATAGAAATAATAAAAATAGTAAAAATAGTAAAAATAATAAAAATAGTAGAAATAGTAGAAATAATAGAAATAATAGAAATATTTACTATTTACTATTTACTATCTACTTTTAAGATACTAGTAAAGGATAGGATAAAGCATTTATAAGAATATAGGCTTTATATAGTGGTTTATTATGCTGTGTAGTTTGAGTCAAGGCTCTCGCGCGGACGCTTGCGCTTTGAATTGCTTGTGGTGATTATAGGCAGGCGTTGTGAACCCGAGGAAGCAGAATCATCGTCCTCGTAATCGTAATCGTCATCGCCATTGTCCTCGTTATCGTCATCGCCATTGTCATCGCCATTGTCATCGCCATTGTCATCGCCATTGTCATCGCCATTGTCATCGTTATCGTCATCACCATTGTCATCGTTATCGCCATCGTCCTCGTCCTCGTCCTCGCCATCGCCCTCCGGTAGAAGAGGCGGGGGAGGCGGACGGGCGTACATGCGCAAAGAAGAATATCGGTTGCAGAAATGAGTGCCTCTTTGGGTGTGTTTGAGCAAACTGAACCAGCGAGTCGAGGTCAATGTAATACAAGTTTCTTCGGGGTACTGAACAGCCAAGGCCTGACGATCTGCGTCAGATTGTGCATCGTGAAAGGCATGGTATTTAGCGCCGGCATGAAAGTGCATAAAGCAGGAGAAAACACTGCAATGGGCGACTAGAATGATACTAAAGGGCGAGTTAGGGTCTGCGTACGCGCGAGGAGATGACGGAGTAGGATGGAGGACTGTACTGGTCTCGTAGGCGGTTTGGATTGGCACGCATAGAGGTAACAGCCTCAAGAAGAAACTGGGCTAAGTTTTCGTTTGTAATAACGGGGTAGATTTCGCCATCGGTTTTGTTCTCCATTATACTGGCTGAGGCTATTTTGGATTCACGTATGGTGACGGAGGGGTCGTGGATTTGCCAGGTATCAAGTAGTTTCTCGAAACTAGCGACGCCTCCGTCGTCGTAACTTGTGACGGTCGCGCGGCCTATGTGTGCAGTGTAGCGGATGGGGTGGAGCCGTGCGCGAAACTCGGCGCTGTCATTGTTCTGGCGGAGGCAGTAGAGAGCATAGCGATCGGTCATGTAGGCCAGATGGTTGGTGACAACTTCGGGCACACTGCGTAGGTTTGTAAAAGCGTCGTCATCAAGGCCGTAGTCGACGGAGAAGGGGGACGACGATGGCGGTTCAGGCGGGGAAGACGAGTCTGTTGGACTGGAGACGTTAACCGGGGTATTGGGTGCTTCGGACGAATGTTTTGGGCGCAAGCTGTAGACCTTGGTGAATGGCGCGTAAGCAGGCGAGACGCAGTTGACCAGGGTGGTCCAGAACTCGGAGCAGGGCATCTCATCAAGCTGGTCGGATGATTTTTGCAGGAGACTCTTGATGGTCACGTCATCCCGGGTGACATAATTTTCCCTTTGTTCGTGTAGCTGCTGGGGGGAGTTGGTCGGATGACAACGGGGACAGGCAGACTTGTGGTCGTCAGCGAAGATTGGCAGGATCTCGGTGTTGCCTTTGCGAATAATGAGTCGGAAATGAGGAAGATGGGCGCCTTTAGCTTTACTCGCGGAAGCTCCCAAATCCTTGTCGGTAAGCTTGCCAAGATCGCGTTCCCAACGATCGAAGTCTTTGTGTGAGCGGGCGGCGTAGCTGGTTGCGCTTTTTGCGACCATTTTGCTCAGGGCTGCACAATGAAGGTGGTGTGTTAGCACAACTAAGTGTGATCATACAGAGAGTTGAGGAGGTGGCCAGCGCGTTGTGGGGGCATTTAGCAAGTAATTACTAAGCAACATCACCGCCACCCAAGTCAAGCTTTGTTTTGCTACAGGCCCAGTCACGGGTCACGGGGTGCATATGGACTCGGTCGACAGAACGTGAAGAAAAGAAACGAAACATAGCGCTCAACAGCGTCGAGACTAGGTACGAGAAGAGGGAGGGGTGAAGACGACGGAAAGCTGATGGGATTAGCAGGCGCGACAGGCACGATGAACTCGACCACAGGGCTTAAACAGGCTCATGCGAACGACGATGCCATGACAGCAGGGAAAGAGAGTACGGCCACGAAATGGGCTCAATTTGCATTGGGTGATGGCGATTGTCAGCTCGAAATCAATCGAACTATAGAAGCACAGGGCAAACGACGGCGAATTCCGACAGATACAGCGGGTGAGGCCGAGACGGCCGACAATGCGACTGGCTTGGAAGAGACAAAGAGGCCGGGACATGATGCTCGACTTGGAGATACGGGTGCTGTGGATGAGCGAGGATCGAAGGAAAAGGAGCACGACAATCTGGTGATCAAGTATCTGAATGATACAAGACGCGACAGCCGATTGACTCAGGTGGCAGTCAAGGAATGGATGATTGTGAACGGGTTACGTCCGAGATGGTACGCGTGATGACAATTAAGCCGATACTGGGAGCTAACACACTTGACAGGGCGTACAGAACGGGCTATCTAAGAAATGACGTGAGAGTTCGGAGATACGATGGAGAATTTCTCTGGAGTGTTCGGCTGGAGGACGCAGGGCACAAGGCGATGGTGGAGCTAGAGGGGATTTTCAGTGCTAAAGGAAAGCCTTGCGTGGCGTACGTGCGGATGGATCGGGTGCGACGCACAAAGAAATTGCAGCTGGAAGGAGGGCAAGACGAGCAGAAGGATGAAGACGACATGTACCTTCGTCGAGTCCTTGTCGGGCTGGGGTTGCAGCAAGACAAGCAAGCCTTGGCGGAACGGGAACCGTGTACGGCAGCGCGTTCCGTTTACCTGGTTGTGGTACCACGAGGTACGCCATCTGTGTTGCGACTGTATTCGGGGAGCGTGTCGAGGCGAATGCTGAACCAGGCTGCGGGGAAGAGGGCTGGAGAGAGGTTGGGGTTGCGGCGGCAGGCTTTGTTGCGACCCGACCATAACTCTCCACCAGCAGGAAGCGTTCGTGGAGTTGACCTTGGATACGAGGAGATAGACCTAACGGAGGTGAACGCGGCAGGAGCCCTTTTCCGAGGGTTTTTCGTTAAACATGGCCTCGTGGCACGCAGTACCCCGAGCGGCCAGGAAAGGATCACAAGTTCAACCACCGAGTAGGGTCAGGCAAGCGAATGTTGAAAACCCCAGAAGAAATCAAGTGAAGTCACTACGAATAATAACTTGTTATGTCAGGCGTAATATAATAAAAAATAAAATTATAACGTAATCTATTTGGTCCGACTCTGTCGTAATCTGCTCGAGCGTCTCGAGTAAAACGGGGCTATGATAACCCTCTAGAACACATGGGCTCGGAACAATCGAACCGATCTACGGATACACCCCACATTATTAGTTCGTTTCACATAACTGGACCATCTTTTGTAATCACCCAAGGATCGGATTGCTGATGTGATCGGGCATACACATGGGAACCACTCGGTCCAACCACGAGCCGGGCCGGCCAGTGTGGCGGCGGTGCTGGGAGCGGACAGTGGAGACGCGTGCCAAGTTCAGCCCCTGGTTGTGATATTTCCTGAGTGTGCTATCAAATGGCGTGTTGGCAATACGACGTTGCGTCGATGTTGTGTCAAGTGGTTTGTCGACGAAAGACGGCCTTGATCGCCCTAAACGACCGGGAGCTGCCGTCATGGCGTCAGATGTCCCTGGTGGGATTGTTAGCGATAGAACTATCAACTAGAACGATAGTGTAACTAGAACGATCCACGCCTTACTTGCATGAATTTTCACCGTGAGTACAAATTACTGTTCAAGATAGCGCAAGGTACTAGCGTTGCTGATTCCCGCTGCTATCAGTCACATTTCCGAGCCCATGTTTCGAGGGGTTATCATAGCCCTGTTTTACACATCTCGTCAGAATACGAAAAAAAATTATGTCTAATATGTTCTATCCGAATCGCTGCTATTCGTACACCGCAACGCCATAGATGGTCGTATTCGCAATGGCGGACCCATCCCATTTGGCAGAGCGTCATCGACCCGTCCTGCGGGCCTCGAGTCAAGAAACATGTTTTGACTTATCCCCTTGCGCCCGGCCGGCGGACAACTTCGTGTCTGATATTCTACTCGTTGAACAGACTGGGCGTCTGCTTCTCGGTGATATACATTGCTGACCTCTTTGCCCGTGCGGGTTCTTTTGGCCGGATCGCTTCCATGAAACTCTGCCTTCGGCTCACCCTGGCGCTTCTCAGATCCGCGAAATCCAGCTCCGCGTCGACCGACACGTCATTTTCAGTAGCGTCGAGATACAGTAGAGCGAGTACTGGCCCCTGCCTGTTGCCCTGGCCGCTATGGGAGCTCAAAAGCTCGTAGCGGACCCCAATCTTGCCGATTTCCCTCACGACCTCGCCTGCCGTCCACGATCGGGGCTTATCGCTGGGAGGCAGCGAGTAGTCTCCTGGTCCGCTGGCCCCGTTGGGAATGTGGAAAGTCAAGTCAATGCGAAAATGGGCGTACGCAGCGACTGTCAGTATCTCCAGCATGAAGCCCGTTGTGTAGAAGGCACTTTTGGTAAACAGCGGAGACATGGCCGCGACGCTGGCGGGATTCGATATCGCCACCAGCTTCACAACCGACCCTACCGCCAATGTGATGGCACTGAAAACGAGCAGGCTTCCTTTGCGGGATAAATGACCAACGCCAAACCCATCGGAGGATGAATGCGCCGTCGCGCTCGCGAGGAACACCCACAACAGGGGCATGGCAACCAGCATCATATTCCAGGACGCACCAAACTTGAGCACCCCCTCGACAGCTTGTAGCTGGACCGGCTTTCCGACACTGAAGAAGCTGACGGCCGTGGCAATAATGTTCATCACGATGACGGCCGGCACGGAGAAGATCAGGAACAGAGAGAGACAGCTGAAAGCCGGTCGCCAGCCAAACGCAGGGTGCATGGAGCGCACGAGGCGCTGTGCGAGGAACAAGTTGACGGCGAAGATGACGGCGGTGCTGGGACGTGTTAGTAAAGTGGCCTGCAGATGGCAGCGAAAAAAAAAACAATCGACTTACCCGCCGTTCTGGAATATGGTTGCCGCCAAGACGACGCCGCGTGGACTAGAAAATGCCCAGACGATGCGGAAGATGCACGTCATGACTCGCACCATGCAAAAGTCAAACATGAGGTCCGATATGAGAAACTTGTGGCCACGCTTGGAGTTTGCTCGGAAGATGGAGATGTGCGTGAAAGCACCCAGGGCAAAGAGGATGAGGAATATCGCCGTGATGAGCACATCATCCTCGGCCGTCGGAACGCCTCCCGGGAACGGCCCTTTCGCAGGGTCAATGTCGGCGCTCTCACTCTGGGGGACTGCGGTCGTGTCCGCCTCGCCAGTTTGACGCCTGGCGATTTTTGCCTCGACTTTTGCAGTCGCTGCAGCGGCCTCAGCCGTGGCCGTAGCTTTGGTGGTAGGGGCCGCCCTCGGGCCTTCACTTGCAATGTCTACTGCATTCGTAGCCGGGCGTGCAAGTGCTGTCGTACTTGTCGTTTGTAATGTTGGGGAGATTGTTATCTGCAGCCTCGTAGAGGTATCCAGCAGGGCATCCAATGTGGTGGCCCGGGGGTCGAGCGGATTGGTAACAGTCTGAGGCGTGAGGGATGACGGGGCCGTGATACTCGTCAGGAAAGTGCTGGCAATTGAGTCGACGGGAAAACGCATGAATAAATTGGCTTGGGCGGCGGCTGAGGTTGAGAAGGATACCGAGTTGGCCAGAGTGTGCGAGGAAAGACCAGCTGCACCACCACTAATGAATGGAGCCATGATGCCGAGTGTTGTGCTTGGTGTTGGAAGTCGACCAAACAGCTCGTGGGTGCCTCACGGCGGAAATCCAGTACGATCGTCCCGATCAACAGGAGGGAAATGAACTACTAAAGTACTCTCAGCGCAAAGCTGGCGTGTGGCGACGACACTGTGAGATGTTGTATATACAGGTGCAATTTTGAACAGCGTCGCAGCCGCTTTCAGAAACATGTAGACAATTAGTACCCGACCGCACGGACAATGGACGAGCGGCATTGCCTCGGTTCCTACCTCCCGCCCAGGAGATTCGGGTGAGCGGCCAGCCGGTTTGCAGCCCCTGCATGTCGGCAGCAACACGCTTCAAGCGCGGCTGAACCCATCGGCGGCCAGGAACCTTGGCATTCTGTGCTACGATGATGCCCTTTGTTGTCCGCGTTTGAGCTAGGTCGAGACTGGTTTCGCATCGCTGCTTGGAGGCCGTTCTTGTCAAAGGGCTGCTGAGCGCAGGCGCTGCGCGAAACACTGCCAGTGTTCTTGTAGTGGCGCCGCTGTAAGGGAGTGGCCATGTTTGTCCGTTCGGCGTTGCAGGTTTGAACTTCATTGTTTTAGGGGGAACTCCGTAGGTGGTCGGGATGTTACACATTGTACCGAGCGCGCGCCTGAGAGCTGCCGCCCTTGCACCACTGGCAGGCTTGATGAGGTTTCTATCCTGAGCTGAAGATACAATACTTACGTGCCTCATCCAGTGGTTGCCAGAAACATGGCTACTGTTCGGCGAGTACATAGTAGGGCTCTGGATTTGTCCTTCAATAACACTTCGTTATACCTGTCTCGTATACCGACGTTTACATATATATATGTCAGCAGAGCAATGCTCGCAGTAGCATTGTCACGCAAATTGTGCTTTCTACCGTGTGAAAAATTGCCGTGTATGCCGGTTATTTAAAGGCATAGCCCCAACCGCTTTGATGCAGGCAATCTGTCTTATCATATATAGCCGTTCAGAATCTCTGACAAATTCCTCCGACACTATGTTGATAGGGGTAGAGATGCGCCTGAATCAGAGCACATTCGGATAATAACGTTATCGGGGCTGTAGAATGCGCAGCGAAGATTCTGTAGGGTTACTCCGGAACCGACCTATAGATTACGAGTCAAGTCAAGCAAGCCATATTGTCCCGTCATCTAACTATCAGGTGTTCCATGCCGTCAAGATCACCATTTTTTAGGCGGGCTGGATGCGAGATATTGATTGCTCAACTTGACGTCGGGGACGGTATATACAGCATGTCCGTGTCACTCACATATAAGAATCATGATCTGCCTGTCTTTAGCAACGTCTGTTTCCATCACATGTGCCAATTTACTTTCCTCAACCATATTTATACTTCCTATCCCAAGTAATAAACACAAATACGAAAAAAACCTAATCACCAACCTACCATCATGGTCTCTACTGGTCTCCATGAGGCGGGCAAGACAGCCGAGCTGTTGGTCTTTGGAGACCTCACGGCCAGCTTCGAGGAAGAACTTCGACAGTTACTCCATGTTCGAGGAAACGAGGCCATGACGTCCTTCTTTGAGCGCGTGGCCTTTAGCCTTCGACAGGAGCTCGGCCGGCTGCCCTCGGCTGTACAGAACATGTTCACCCGCTTCACAACTCTCATCGACTTGGTGGCGGGCTTTGGAGACAAGATAGAGGGAGCACCGGTCATGCAGTTCTGTCTCATGACTGTCTGCCAGTTGGCCAAGTTTATCCAGTAAGTGTTGCGAACCTGCACTACATTCCGTCATGCATAATACTCAATTCTCTAGCTTTGCTACCGGGAGACCGTTTCCATCCCCGGAAAACAGCTATTTACTTGGCATCTGCACCGGGTCCTTTGCTGCTTCTGCAATTTGCGTCTCTCAGTCCATACCCGAAGTTGTGGTTGCTGGCGTCGAGGCTACCATTGCCGCTTTCCGAACAGCGCTTCGCTCATTCCTACAAAGAGGCATCATCACTACGGCGGGAAACAGGCCCTGGTCTGCCGTGGTTTCTCGCGATAAGCTTGTAGACAAGCTCATCGAGAAGTTTACGGAAGACAATGTTTGTTCCTCACTTCAGTTTCCCAAGGCAACACGAATGGCAATGCTAACTCTCTAGAAGCCCTATCATAGCAAGCTATCCAATTTATACATAAGCGCTACCACACCCTTTACCGCTACCGTCAGCGGGCCGCCCGACGTGTTGAACGATTTCCTTGCGCGAAATAACCTCCCGCTACACCGACTGCCCATCCACTCGCCGTTTCATTCTTCCCACATCTTCAATGAGGCTGATGCGGAATCTGTGTTGACGGGCTTCCCCGAGGCTGAATTCCAAGACTATAAACCTCGAATTCCCATCTTTTCAGGCTCTACGGGAGAGCTGATTCAAGCAACTGACTTCAAAGGTCTGTTGAGAACGGCCAGCACCGGTGTATTACGAGAGGTGGTTCAATGGGAAGGGATTCTCGCCACTCTCTCTACGACTTTGGTCAAGCAGAAAGTGGGCAAATGCAGCATCTACCCATTCTACCACAATAGCACCTCGCTCTTGTCTTCATACCTGGCGCATGAGGCAAGCATGGAGGTGGCCGTGCAGAACATGATGCGTCTTCCTGCGCAGCAACCCACGAGGCCGACAGGACGGCTTGACCAAACCAAGATCGCCGTCATCGGCTACTCCGGTCGGTTCCCCGAGGCCACGTCCAACGACGAGTTTTGGCAGCTGCTCCGCTCCGGTCGCGACGTGCATCGCAACATACCCGAGGATCGGTTCAACTGGAAAACATACCATGATCCAACGGGGAAGAAGAGAAATACGAACAAAATTCAGCATGGGTGCTTCATCAATGAGCCTGGGTTATTCGACACGCAGTTCTTCAACATGTCGCCGCGCGAGGCAAACAGTACTGATCCCGCACAAAGGCTAGCCATCACGGCTACCTACGAAGCAATGGAGATGGCCGGCATGGTGCCAAACAGGACTCCTTCGACCCAGCAGGACCGCATCGGCGTCTTTTTCGGCGTCACTAGTGATGACTGGAGAGAGGTCAATAGCAGTCAGGACGTCGACACCTACTTCATCCCCGGAGGGGTCAGGGCTTTCATGCCAGGTCGGATTAGGTAAGCCCAATCGTCTACGATCAGAAGCACATTTCTTTACTGACACAAACGTAGTTACTTTTTCCGCTTTTCCGGTCCCAGTCTCAGCATCGATACGGCTTGCTCCTCCAGCTTCGCCGCCATCCAGTCGGCCTGTGGATATTTGCTGAGAGGCGAGTGTGATACTGCGATTGCCGGCGGCACAAATGTGCTCACCAACCCCGACATCTTTACTGGTCTGGATCGTGGTCATTTTCTGGCGAAAACGGGTAAGCCATACTCCTACGTTCAGCTTCCTACTTACTGACTCTTCGGACAAGGTAACTGCAATACTTTTGACGACGAGGCTTCTGGGTACTGCCGCGCCGAGGGGGTTGGCGCAGTCATTCTCAAGCGTCTGGAAGATGCCCTCGAGGATAACGACCCAATCTTCGGCGTCATTGCTGGCTCCAACACCAACCACTGCGGCCAGACAGACTCGATTACGCGACCGCATGAAGGCGATCAGGTATCCGTCTTCAAACGCGTCCTGCGGTATCAGGGTGTCGACCCCAACGAGATCAGCTATGTGGAAATGCACGGCACGGGCACGCAGGCCGGCGACGCCACCGAGATGCGCTCCGTGCTTTCCGTCTTTCTCCCCGACCAACAGCGCACCGCCAGCCAGCCGCTGTACCTCGGCTCAGCCAAGGCCAACGTCGGCCATTCTGAGTCGGCATCGGGCGTCGTGTCCCTGATCAAGGCGTTGCTGATGATGAAGAACGATGAGATTCCGCCGCACTGCGGCATCAAGACGCGCATCAACAGAAACTACCCCACGGACCTCGCCCAGCGCAATGTCCGCATTGCCTTGGAGCCTACCCCTTGGCGGCGGGGAGATTCCGCTGGCGGAACGAGAAGGATGTTTTTGAACAACTTTAGCGCTGCTGGTGGCAACACCGCGATCCTCCTGGAAGATGCTCCGAAACTCCCGGAAATTGTACACTCTGGAGGGGAAGGCGAACGTGGCACATACCTGGTCGCGGTATCGGCGAAATCCGCAAAGTCTCTCGCTGCCAACACAGCGCGCTTGGTTTCGTTCCTCGAAGAGAATCCCTCTTGCTCTCTTCCAGCACTTTCCTACACCACAACGGCCAGACGAATCCATCATCGCTACAGGATAGCTTGCTCCGGTGTTTCCATTGCCGCTGTCCTGAAGGAGCTCAAGTTGCTGGCTCAGTCGCAGTCTCAATCTCAAGCTCAAGCCCCAAGGCCAGGCCCGTCCAAAACAACAAAAGTCGTCTTCGTCTTCTCAGGGCAGGGGAACTTGTATACGAGCCTAGGACGAGAGCTCTACGACACTCTTTCGAGTTTTCGCGAGGACATGGTCCAGTTCAACAATATTGCGCAGCAGCATGGCTTCCCGCCGTTTCTCTCTCTTATTGATGGTTCAGCCTCGAGCGTCGAGGGCGTTGACACGTGCGTGAGCCATTTGGCGCTGGTATGCTTTCAAATGGCGCTCAGCCGGCTCTGGAATGCATGGAATATTCACCCGAGCATGGTTATGGGCCACAGTTTGGGCGAGTACGCAGCGCTCTTCGCAGCTGGCGTAATCAGTGCGAGTGACACCATCCTCTTGGTGGGCACAAGAGCGACGCTGTTGACGAGACACTGCCACCCTGGCACGCACGGCATGATGGCCATCAAGGCAGGCGTTGACAGCGTCCTGCCGCTGCTGGCCGAGTCATCTTGTGAGATTACGTGCATCAATCAGCCGAGTGGGACTGTGGTTGGCGGAACGAAGGAGAGCCTAGACAAGCTCGCGGCCAAGGTGCAATCACTGGGCTACCCATCAATACCGCTCGATATTCCCTTTTCTTTCCATACCTCCCAGGTTGACCCGATCCTTTCAGAATTTCAGAAGGCTGCGCAGAATGTCCAGTACTCCGTACCAAAAATCCCGATCCTGTCTCCGCTGCTCGGCCGCGTCATCCAGGATGAGCAGCCCTTTGACGGAGACTATCTAGCCCGGGCGTGTCGCGGCGTGGTCAACTTTCAAGGGGCATTGGAAGCAGCCAGATTTGTCTCGCTCGTCGACGAGCACACCGTCTGGCTGGAGATAGGCTCGCACCCGGCCTGCTCTGGCATGGTTAAGGGAACACTGGGCTCCCAATCCACTACTCTGGCGTCGGTCCGCAACTCCACGTCGCCATGGACCACTATGGTTTCTGCCCTCGAAGCCATGTATGTCAAGGGCCTGGAAATTGACTGGAACAACTTTCATCGGAGCTCCGGCGAGCCTCATCAAGTCATCCAACTGCCGCGCTACAGCTGGGACCTGAAGAACTACTGGATCACCTACAAGAATGACTGGCTGCTTACCAAGGGAGAGTGTTGTTCTGCAGCGCCTCAGGCTTTGCAGGGCACACCCATGAATAAAGTGCGATATATTTCGCCTTCAGTGCAGCGCGTGCTGAAGGAAAGCCATGCGACCGCGCAGTCTACCCTACTGGCCGAGTCCGATTTGTTCGACAGCAGGCTGCTACCCGTTCTGAGCGGGCATAAAGTGAACGGGGCGGCGCTGTGCCCATCGGTAAGTTGCTTTTTTGGCGTTCCTGTACCATTTTGAACGAGACTAACATGATGCAGAGTTTGTACGGTGACGTTGCACTGACAGTAGGAAAAGCCCTTGTTGAAGGATGTGATTCAGCGCACTTCACGGGCTTTGACGTTTGCGACGTCAAGGTCGATCACCCTCTTATTGCCCTTTTGTCGGAAAAGTCTCATCTGTTCCGCGTCTCAGCCACGGCCGATTGGGCTTCACAGCTCATCTCGGTCTCCATTTACAGCGTCGATGATGCGGGCAACACGACAGCGCACCATGCCAAAGCCAATGTCCGCTTGCTCACTGATCGGGCCGTCTGGCTTGCCGAGTGGAAGCCCGTGGCTTACCTCATCCGCGGTCGGATTGCTTCTCTCGAACGGGGCGTCGACAGTGGTAATAGCCATAAGCTGAAGCGCTCCATGGTTTACAAGCTCTTCACCTCCATCGTGGACTATGGCTCCGACTACCAGGGTATGCAGGAGGTCATCCTGGACAGTGATGAGCTCGAAGCAACGGCAAAAGTGTCGTTCCGTGTGGATCATCAGGGATTCGTCATGAATCCGCATTGGATCGACAGCTTGGGCCACTTGGCCGGGTTCATCATGAACGGGAATGAACACACGCAATCGGACAAGCAGGTCTTCATCAACCACGGCTGGGGTCGCCTGCGGTTCGGCGAGACTCCTTGTCATGGAAAGGTCTATACCACATACTCCAAGATGCAGCTTGTAGAGGGCAAGCTCTATGTCGGTGATACCTATGTTCTGGACGGGGAACGCATTGTTGCCATGTTTGATCGAGTCTCCGTGAGTCTGCCAAGTGACCCAATCGGAAGCACGTTTTCTAACATTTCACAGTTTCAAGGAGTACCCCGCAAGGTCATCGGCATGCTTTTACCCAGTACGAAAGAAACGACCCCGGTGCCTGGCATCAAGAGACACACGTCTCCTCCTGAAAAGACGTGGCCGGCCGCTGCTCCAGCACCAGCCCAAAGCCGCATTCTGGCCCCAGTTGCCGCACACTCGTCGGGAGACCCAGACTTCCGTCGCGTCTTGACAATCATTGCGGAAGAGGTGGGAATCACTCTAGCGGAGCTACAGCCTGACGCCCAGCTCGCCGATCTTGGGATCGACTCGTTGCTTTCACTGACGATCTCCTCGCGCATCAATGACGAGATGGGGTCGGATTTGGCGCCGACGCTTTTCGTGGAACACCCGACCGTGAAAGACTTGCAGTTCTTCTTTGACACGGATGGACGCAGTCAGAGAGACACGCCGGAGCTTGTCGACGACGCTTCGACAGACTCTAGTTTTGCTCCCAGCGAGGTTCCTCCCAACGACAATGTCGCTGTCACGGCCATGATTCGTCAAGCGATCGCCGACGAAACGGGGCTATCGATCGACGAGCTTGAGTCTACCGCCTGTCTGGCGGATCTTGGCGTGGATTCGCTTCTCAGCCTCACCATTGCAGACTCCCTCACGGAGGCTCTTGGTGCCGAAGTGTCCAGCAGCCTGTTGCTGGAGAGCAAGACTCTGAAGGACTTGGAGGCCAGGCTGGGCAAAGTACTGGGCCGCAACACCGCCGAGCTCTTTGGTAGAAGCGACGTTGGCGCGCTTACACCCCCAGCATCCTTCGTTCCTCCCGCAAAGGCGGCGGTGGACCAGATTGTCTCCAGCCCGCCGCACGCGACCTCCATCATTCTTCAGCGCGCCACCACCCCCGTCGCGAGCCGCGTCCTGTTTCTGCTCCCCGACGGGTCTGGATCAGCCGCTTCCTACGCCTTGATTGCCAAGCTGGAGCCGAGCGTGAAAGTCTACGGACTGAACTGCCCGTGGCGGACAACGCCGGAGGAGATGACCCGGCTGGGGGTGACGACGACCCAGGTTGTAGCCAAGTTTGTGGCTGAGATCCGCCGGCTCCAACCGCATGGCCCCTACTACCTCGGCGGGTGGTCCGCCGGCGGCATCTTTGCCTTTGAGGCGACGCGAGAGCTCATGGCGGCAGGCGAGGTCGTCGAGAAGCTTCTGCTGCTGGACGCGCCGAACCCGATCGGTCTCGAGAACCCGCCGCCAAAGATGTTTGACTTTTTCCAGAGCGCCGGCGTATTTGGCAAGATGACGGGCGGCAAGACGGTGCCAAAGTGGCTGCGCTACCACTTTGACGCCGTCGTCATCATGCTGGATGGCTACGCTCCGAGACCGCTACCCAACGCACCGCCGACGCTGGTCATTTACGCGCGAGATGGTATATGCAAGGGCCCGGATGCGCCACAGATGGAGACGACGCCGGATGACGCGCGTGAGATGCTCTGGCTGCTGCACGACCGGACCGACTTTTCTGCCGCCGGCTGGGTGACGCTGCTTGGGCACGGTCGGACCAGTGTGCATGTGCTGAGTGATGTGAATCATTTTACGATGATGGACGAGGGGCCGCATATGGAGGAGATGCGTGGCTATGTTCGAAAGGAAATTTTGGATTTATAATTCGCCTAGACTTTGTTTTTGACATTTTTATAGATTGATATAGTAGCTGTCATGTACAAAGAAATTGTCATATTCAGTCACATTTTCGGCACGCGTGAGGCAAATCGCACTACATGGCCAATTGCGGACGCAGGTTTGGTGATACCGTGAGGCGTAGAGAAAGAAATGCTCTTAATTAACCTCTTGTGCTTGTGATGAAAGAAAATCCCAAAACTTCATAAAAGAATGCTTCCGTCCAGTGAGTTGTAAAGGCCCGTATTGTGTGTGACAACGGGAGGTCAATTGTGCACCCGCTTAGCACCTGGAACCAAGAACAAGTCTATGTCGCGATTTACTAAACACCTATATTTATCAAGTTTTATTTTCAAGTCAGCGGCGAGTTCTGTTGTGCGAGGCTCGTCACAATTCCTCTCAGCGAGGGCGGGACAACGATGGATCACAAGCGACATGGCTGGAGCGTCACGGAATATGCCAACGAGGATTCGAAACGTAGAATGCCTGATTCTGGTTTCCATTTGTCATCTCCTAGAGCTATTTAGGGAGCCTCCGGTGCTTAAGCCTCTTTCGCTTCGTCAGCAAGTACCTCTAGTCTCCCGACTACGTGAAAGAACCACCAGTGAGAAGAATCACCTGGCCTGCAACCATGTTAGTACCCTTGAACAGAAGCACTCGGGAAGTCACGTACCATTGATCCATTCGCTGTCAGCGTGTGCCAGGAAGGCAACAACTCGCGCGATGTCCTGGGGCACTGCAACGCGCCCCAGAGGACAGCAGGCGGCCAAGCCCTTGTCGATCTCTGCCATGGACGAGGAGGGAGTCGCCCCTGGTGAGTAGCGCCATGCGTTTCTATACTGTATCAGTCCAGTCCGGCCGTGTATGCGACTTTTGAGAATGAAACTTACTCGTCATACATGTCCGTCTTGACACCGCCCGGAGCGATGGCGTTGACGGTGATTTTCTTATGGCCGCAATCGACCGCGAAGCTGCGGGTGAAGCCTTCGACCGCGGCCTTGCTACCGGCGTAGAGCGCGTGGTTGCCGATGCCGGACATGGTTGCAGCGACGGACGACGTGAAGATGATGCGGCCGCCGTTCTGGAGCTCCCTGTAGGCGTGCTGGGCGACGAAGAACTGGGCGCGGGTGTTGAGGTTGAAGATGCGGTCGTAGTCCTCCTCGGTGACCTGGTCCTCGGGCTTGAACACCTCGGTGCCCGAGTTGGACACGACAATGTCGAGCCGGCCAAAGTGCTGCAGCGCCTCCTTGAACAGCCGCGTCACCTCGGACACCTTGGACACGTCGGCCTGGATCGCGATGGCCTGCCCGCCGGCGCTCGCGATGGCGGCAACCACCTCGGCCGCCGCCTGGGAGGAGCGGCTGTAGTTGACGACGACGGACGCGCCGCGCTGGCCGAGCTCCAGCGCGATGCCGCGGCCGATGCCTCGACCGGCTCCCGTGATAAGAGCCACTTTGCCCTGGAGAGGGTAGGTCTGGTCCTTTGTAGAAGCCATTGAATTCGACGGGGCGGGTGATTGTATGATTGTGGTTGTTGGATTGCTGGTGAAAATGATGTTCTTGTATGCTCGGGTGTGAGCTTATTGAGGCGGGGATCGTTGGCTTTTTATATCTCCCTGTTGATCAAGACGCTTGCACCATTCCGAGGATAGAGTCAAAACAGTGTGCAATGGCCTTTGGCACAGATAGAAAAAGGGTATTCTCTGTGGATCGAGGTTAAATCGTTCGGCGCGCGCAAAAAGCTCGCGAAGCGAATATAGGCAATCCACCTCGTAAAAAGGCTACTAACGAAACATGCCGGGAAACGCAAAGCGTCTCACACTGGGCGGTCTCATCCTCATTGGTAGGCAAGATAGCGATTATGAGCCCTTCGGGGGAATTCGAAGCAGATGATGAGATGAGCCGATGGATGATGAGCTGAACGGAGGTTTGCGCAGAATAGATGATGTGCAGCACGGATGATGCGCAAAACGGCTGATGAAGCTGTGCAAACCTCTCATCAGAGCTCTATAGGCTAGTAGCTCGTCGAGTGACGGGAACGCTTGTCCCTCGACGTGCGGAGGGGATCGCGGCATCACCGGTCCGTGCTCGCATCGACCTGCCGAGCGGATCGGGGCATCTGCTGCCCGTGCTACCCTATTGACGTGCCGGGCGGATCGATTCATAATCAGTCCGTGCTGCCCGCGCTCTGGGCACCGGAAACGCAAGCAACTCCGAAAAAGGGTGGCACACCACTCCGAAACAGATGTTGGTGGCGCGACCGCCGTGATAGCCGCTGTACTATGCGCATCATACCCCACGTATCAGGCTGGGGTGTGTTTGGGGAGACGACAATGAGCAAAGCGGAAACGAATGGTGATTTCTGCGCTTTGATAGTTACGTTATGGCTCCTGCAGAGTATTTGCGTGGTCTTTTTAAAGAAAGGTTGTAGAAGGGTAGTCGCGGCCTACCCTAGAGCTAGGCATCTTAGTAGGTAATGCAAATACTACCGTTTACCTTTTACAAATTATTCAAAACCACATTGAGCTTTACAGTTGTAGTGGAGAAATTACACTTATATGAGTCTGTATTGGCGTATTCTATTTTAGAAGAAACCTTCAGGCGATAAAGGACCCTTTAAAGACCTTTTCGAAATCATGCTCATTCCATCGAACCAACGGAGCCAAACCAGCAAACTTCCACACGCCATCAACCTTAGTGTAGTAGTGCTTGTTGGTAGCGTGACTATGGCCGTGCAATTTCACCGTCTTCAAGTCCGGCGCGGTATAAACCTGGTGCGCAGCCCTCAACTGGTGATGTCCGATAATCTCCGTTGCCGAGATGCGCTCCCAGCGGGTCGCGCCGAGCAGATGCTGCGTCTTGACGCAAGGGTCGCCGAGAAAGTCGTCGTCGGACACCATGGCGACGAAGTCGTCTGCCGACATGGCTTCCCAGATGTCCTTGCCGATCTTTGAGTAGTCGACGTAGAGGGTCGGAGCGATGATGCGGCGCAGCCGAGGCCAGTCCTAGACAAGTTCAAGTAAGCAGCTGGCAGCACGGCCTGTACATTTGGAGAAGTTGGGTACTTTTGCGTCGTAGCTGTCGCCCCAGTCGAAAAGCAAGGCGGACACCTCAAGGTAATCTAAATAGTGAGCCAAGATGGAAACCACAAGTTGTGACTGGTGCTGCTCACCCTGGAATGAGATTGCAGAGGATGAGCTTGCGGCTCTGGTAACAGCGGAAGAGAAAGTCATTTTTGCCACGGGTATGAATTGACCGCTATAATTGAGGAGATAGAGCGCAGCCTTTATAGATGGTCTATTTCCACTCTTTTCTGTTGACGTATCGGCGGTCGGTCCCATGAAGGAGTTGCAGGTATGGTGTGAATTGGTTGATCGGACTTGTAGCGCCGTTGGACAATTGATCATATCATCAATGAGCAAGGATCGGGTCGACCTCGCTCCGCTTGTTCGTCATGAAACTTCGTTATCCGGATGTAAAACATGCCGCATATGTTCTCCAAAGCAGGATCACTTTTGCACGCCGCAGCTCTGCTCTCTTCGATTTCATGGCAGCCAGCGCGTGTCACTATTTTGGGAATGTTAGCCCCCCGAGCCGGCGGCGGCGGAGGTTAAAACCCGCTATCCGTATTCGATTACACAAATAAAGTATTTCCATGTATAGGCTATAAGAGAAATATTTGAAATACTTTAATCTAATTGAATAATCAATGTGATGGAACGACCCGGGAAGCTCCAGCCTCAATCAACCTTGGTGCCATAACCAGGCGAAAGAGGCAAGGTACCGTTCATTCCTCACCTCCCTCAAACATATACATAACTCTTTTATACAAATAGTGGCCACTCCAGTTCAAGAGTCGACTCGGAAAATTGATGATTATTCGTGGCTGGTTGGCAGCAAGCACTTCCTGAGGCGAGTAACACCAGCCGAAGGCGCATGGGATCACACCCACTACCCGGGAGTCGACCATTAAAGACTACACCGAATAGATCAAGTTGATCTATGACTCTGGCCATGTTTCCGCTCTCTTTGCTATCGGAGGCACTGCTTTCTGCAAAGTAAGAGTTTTGAGCGTACCGCAGACCACCAGAGAGCACGTCACGCTCTCGTGTCTGCATCAACGAGAAAGAATAGAGCTTTCTCGTACTAGAAAACCTGCATCACGCAGAGATCTATGGCCTATACTATCAACATTCCTAGTAAATCTTGATAGTGTGTGGCCGCGATTGGAGGATGCGCAGCCACAGCGCTTTGTCGAGCGCATTGTCAGCATCTGCGCAGAACCTGCAGTGCCAGCCCCGAGGCATGTCATCAGCGGTGTGGACGGTGGCTTCGTCACAGAGATATGCCTGAGTAGTGAGAAACAATTTCAGCCATGAGAGCCTCAGAAAGAACAGTCTGGCGTTGGGCATGGATTTCTCCAGTCTTGTCTTCTATCACGGTGACCTTGGCCCGACGAATATCATCGTGGAGCTGCAGACTAACAGGGAATCTGCGGGATTCAGCCAAGACAATGAATGCATAAATCTTTGAGTTTCTAAGGGAATGACTCTGTCAAGCGGCGACGCGGTGTAATGGATAAAGGGTGATGCACGTCGGTGAGCTGAGCTCGCTGACATGGCGAGTGCATCCATGAACAGGTATATTGGATTGAGTTCTCGTCAAGACTTACTATTCACTACTACTCAGCATTAAAAATACACCGAATTATTTTATGAAAATTTGCTTTATTCTTGTTGAAAGGGGACAAGGGGAAACACGACGAGAGACTTCAGGCAGTGAACAGGGCACATAAGCCGATGTTGTTCAGTCGCAACAACCTGAAGAGTAGGGCCAGGACACTCAAGAGTCTGTTTCTATGCATCCCGCTCCTTGATTACCCTTGCAACGAAAATTGCAAAATGCGGCCTAAATGCAGTGGCGTGGCGTTCCGAATCTCTACAAACAAGGCTCGATACAACTCGGTGCCAGACACATCATCGCAAAGCCAATATTTGCACGAGGCATGATCCAATGCACTCTACTCCCGGAAATCCACAGCTGGCTTGCCCGAGTCGGCGCGTATACCACATTGTCGTAGGCAGCCCAGCCCGAGCTGTGGTTCGTCCATATTTTGTACCTGGCCCGAGGCGCGGTACCGCTACGCTACCCTACTATGTAAAGAATTCTCATAATCATCTTAGCTTGAAGGTCCAGCCGGTAGAAAGCGTCGCTCATCAAGTCGTCTTTCTTGGAGCCGTCTCTGGCTCAGCAGAGTGGCCGGTTCCCAACGAGCTCTACACCTAGCTCTACAACTTTCTCTGTGCCGCTCACCCCGCCTGTCGGCCGCTGCGACGCGTCTTTCAGCTTCGCCGACGACAGCCGCTCCGGCTTGACGCAGCAGCAGCCTGCAAGCACTGTTTTTCCATTCTCGTGATTGGCGGAACACGCTCCGAAGCAACTCAGCCAGCCACCGGACCGCGACTCATGCCCTGTCTGGGACAGCCAAGACAACTGGGCAGAAGAGCGCGGGAAAAGGATTTCGTCGACACAGAATGTAGGGAATTGACGGTGCCCGACCAGAAAGCGGGCTGGGCGCAGCGGCAAGGACATCGTGTACGACATCTCGGGATTAAAGGCAGCCACCGGATGATCAGCTCGTGGGAATTTTTGAAACATGGCCCCCAACTCGCAGCTGAAGCTACGAACCGTTACCCCAGGCAAATGGCATTTTCGTACTAGAGTATCGGTACTCTGCATATGCTTAAATTTCCGAAGTAGTCGTGTAAGTGGGTTCTGCATCTTGCAGATCGTCGGCAGCAAACTCCTCCATCGCGTACCATCCATCAGCTATTCTTGGCAGCTTCATAACTGAGGTCACTCTAATCGTGATTTTGGTTCTAGATTCGTTACAACGGAAACTTTTGGCCGCTTGGTCACAAGTGATGAATGCAATAGCACGCATGTAAGAACTGATTCCTCTTTCAGCTAGCCACTCTGCTCGATGAAGAGGTGCTTCTGTGTATTATTGCCCTCGCGAAGAAGACAATCTCGAGCAGCCGAGACACGGAGAATACAGCCCAAATCCACCGGTCCTGAGATAGGCACAGATTCTGCGCTGCCGTTGGGCTCAAGACCTTTACCGTCGGGAGGAAAAGCGCCTGCACAACGCCAAACTGGGCATAACTTGAGGCAGCTGCCGACCAGCCGTGCTCATATGCGTCCGAGACTTGCATGGCGACGGGCCGGATTGCGGAGAGACGATTCGTCCCGCTAGTAGCTATTTCTGTCATGTCTTTGCCAGACTGGCTGATGTGGTCAAGGTTGCGCTGCGATGGCGGAGAGACGGACCGGAGCTACATGCCGACCGAGAGTTCGCGACGTTTTCAAGAGACAGATTGTAGACTCTCCCAAACATCGACTCTTTACCAAGAGAACATCATTATAAATACAAGTAAAAGCCCCGTCCTGGATACACTTGTTCCTCTTCACCATCAGCTTCACACACCTCGTTGACAATCCTCTCTTACACCATACTCCATCCCTCACCACACAAACACATCCCCCCCAAAACACCCAAGATGCAGACAGCCTTCACCGCCGGCCTTGTCGCGCTTGTCGCGCTCTCGCAAGCCGTGACCGGCTCGCCCGCGCCCGAGGCCGAGTCCATCATGGCCCGGCCGTACGTGTGCCCTTCGTGCCCGCCGCACGCGCCGCTGTGCGCGCTCAACCTCAACACCAGACAGCCAAAGTGCTGCCCTGCCGGGAAGCCGCTCGCAAACAACGCCGGCTGCTACACCGCCGACAACGTCATTTGCAACAACACGCAGATCTGGGTTCCCGGCACCCACTGCCCCTGCGCCTAAGCGCGGTGCTGCGCCGGGACGGGAGAGAGCGAATCCAAGGGCTCTCGTGGGGGAGTCGTCAAGCCCAATTGCCAGGCAGGGAAGAAGATTTTGTATAGGTTTCGGTACAGGTTTTTGTCTGTGTGCACAGTTTTCCCTGTATCCTTGGCGTGAATGCGGAGACTTGAATACTATGATGTAGAGATGAAAGAGATTCCAGATTCAAACAGAAATACAATTCTATCTGGTGTAATATGCAGTCAATGCCCTTTCAGAAACCACTCACTAGAAATAAATGCAACAGATAAATCAAACGCTTCATGCCAACTAAGCTAATACGTACTGCGCTTGTCGTCTTCCTCTCTCTTCAAGATCTTGGTCGCCCTCCTGACCTGGGCCAGCAGCGCACAGTAACTGCCCAGTATCTCGCCGAGCACACCAGTATCGAGGTCGGCATACAGCTTCATCCTGCACTCGCGCACCATGCCGCCGGAGCCATCGGCACCCGAAGCGACACCGGGCATGCGCCAGCTCTGCCAGCCATCCACGGCAGCCACCAGCCGCTCATAGTCGTCGACCAGGCACAGCGTCGTGTCGAGCGACGTCATGTCGGCGTCGCGGAATCGCCGCGACACCCACATGAGGTTGCCCTCGGACGACTTCCAGCGCCAGATGGGCATGCCGCCCCAGAACTGCGTGCGGAAGCGCTTCGTCACCGGGGAGGTGTTGACCGTGGGTCTGGCCGACGCCGCCGACGACGACGACGACGACGAGTACGCAGGGGGGTTGGTGCTCGCGGGCAGGTGGAAATGCACCGAGTAGTTGTCGCCGGGGAAGAGCCGGATGAGACAGGTTTCGGTGAACTCGTACGGCGGCGGCAAGCTCTCGTCGGCGGATGTGGTGTGCGGTGGCGGTGGCTGGTCCTCGTCCGGGGCGTTCTGGGGGGAGAGCGCGGTAGAGGTCCGCATCATGACCTGGATTCTCGGGTTGGGATTTGTTACTGACGGAGGCTCCGTCGGGTTGCTGAGGTGAATTTGACAAAAGACCTCCCCTTCGCCCTGGGCGCGTTCCAGCGCCGTGGCCGGGTTCTTGGGCCCCGTCATGACCATGCACCGGACAGTGCCCTGCAGCCAGTCTTCGGACGCGAGCTTGATGCGCGTGCGGGCCTTGCAGCGGGCGAAGCGCTTCGAGCACGTCTTCATGTCCTTTTTCGGCAATGTCGGGGCGCGGCCCCAGCGGCGACCGGGCGACGCGCATGCCGCCGGGCAGACGGGCCAGGTCGGGCCGCCAGTCGTCCTCGGCGGGCGCGAAGTTCTCGTCGGCGACGTTGGCGGCAATGGTGAAGGCGTAGTCGCCGAGGCCGCCGGTGGTGATGGCCAGCCGCAGGCCGCACCGCCGGCACGAGTGGA